TCTAAGCAGCATCCACCTCTGTAGCAATTTTAACTTTTGGTTTCCCAATTCACTTCTTTGGTCAGAGCATGTACCATGTACTTTCCACATTGCAAAATTTACAGCACTTTCTCTTATTGTGGATGGGGTCAAGAGTTTGGTTTATAACCACACTAAATATTTCTATACAGACAGATGTCTTTCTGTGGAAAACTTCTGACTTCACACAGGTGTCGGTGTTTTTAATAAATTTGGGTTCTTGAAAACTGTTTCTGTGAGGCAGCAGCTACATGAAATGCTGAAAGGTTTTGGGGGTTTTTAAGTTAAGAAGAAATTAATCAATACATTCTCAAAAAGAGAGAGAAGACCAGACAAAGACAGAAATGAAAGGAGTTAGCCAGACATTTGAGCAGTGGTCGGGAGAGCAAAATTCCACTGCCATTTGATGTGTTTCCTAGCACCCTGGCTCCAAAAGAGTCCATTTTGGTCTGGATAGGCAAGCAAGTAAGGATTTAGTTTGCACAGGGCAAATTTAATAGTCTCCTACTCTACTGACATGGACAAGGAGGTAATCCCTTTCCACTAGTCAGCTAGCATGTAAACACTCCACTTCCATCTTGTTGTTGTTGTTTTGTTGTTTAGTCATTTAGTCGTCTCTGACTCTTCATGCCCCATGGACCAGAGCACACCAGGCACTCCTGTCTTCCACTGCCTCCCTCAGTTTGGTCAAACTCATGCTGGTAGCTTCGAGAACACTGTCCAGCCATCTTGTCTTCTGTCGTCCCCTTATCCTTGTGCCCTCAATCTTTCCCAGCATCAGGGTCTTTTCCAGGGAGTCTTCTCTTCTCATGAGGTGGCCAAAGTATTAGAGCCTCAGCTTCACGATCTGTCCTTCCAGTGAGCACTCAGGGCTGATTTCCTTCAGAATGGATAGGTTTGATCTTCTTGCAGTCCATGGGACTCTCAAGAGTCTCCTCCAGCATCATAATTCAAAAGCATCAATTCTTTGGCGATCAGCCTTCTTTATGGTTCAGCTCTCACTTCCACACATCACTACTGGGAAAACCATAGCTTTAACTATACAGACCTTTGTTGGTAAGCTGATGACTCTGCTTTTTAAGATGCTGTCTAGGTTTGTCATTGCTTTTCTCCCAAGAAGCAGGCGTCTTTTAATTTCGTGACTGCTGTTACCACTTCCATCTAGTTCCAATCAAACCAACCCTTGCTGAACCTTTGCTGAATTATGTTATAATGGCCCATGTCCTGGGTGAGAAGGCTGGGGGTTCTGTCAGGGACCTGGTTTCACTATGGAATGGTGAGATGAAGAGAGACAGATAGCATTCATGACCCCATGATGCTCCCTGGTTTTCTGGGGACCTTTAGACAGTTAGGTAGGTCAGACAGGAATGGCTGGTGAGGAGCGGCGTCATCACTTCCCTGACCTACTCAATACCAGTGTAGGCACCAAGTAAGCACCCACCCTCCCTGTCAGCCACTTCTGAGGCCAGATGACCAACAGAGTATGGGCAGTGCAACTACTACAAGCTTCTGTTAAACATCCCTGTGGTGTTTAATATTCCCATGAACCCACTAGAAGACGTTAGCAGAGGATCTGGAGTAAGGTGCTAACAATATGCTGATGACATACCATCCCTATTTCTTGTTATCCTCCAGGTCAGCATGGAAGGAAAGTTCATGGTTTCCCTCCCCAGGATTCCCTTCTCCCCTGAATCTCTCCCTTCTCACGCTTGAGGTCCTGGATGCCTCCATCCCCTTCTGAGTCTCACTCTTTTCCCCCCTCTTCTTCCCTGAGCTTGTGCTTGGCTTGTTTGAACATTAGACCATCACTCCTCCAATGTTCAAACAGAAGGTAATAATCGGCTTCTCTTCTCTTTCAATGTCTTTGCTTGCCTTCTTTCAAGTACCACTGCAATTTCCCCCCTTCTTTCCACCTCCTTTGAAGCCAAAAGTTGCACCATGCCCCTGTCATTGACAGCACTGTCCACTGAACAGAATAATCCTAAGAAGCAGTTCCCCTAGCTACCCATTTCAGCACTCAGGTTTGGAAATTCCTTGCAAATGGTTAGTTTCACTGTCATATTTAAAGACACATTTCCTGAGCAAGCATCGGAATAAAACACTGCTTGTGCTAATGACCATCATAGTAAGATTTGCACTGACTTCATGAAATACCACTATCTGTGTCAAAGGTCCAGAGCTGAGAGGCCCACAGTGACATATATGGACAGGACTGTACAAACCTTATACAATATTTACCAGCACAAATCATGTAAAATATGATGGTGCTGATATATCCTAAGATTATGTGCACATAACACTAGCATGCCCAAGGCAAGGGCACATGTCAGTCACTTGCTCCAGGGATGTCATACATAGCTAGATGTCAAGGGGAGAATAACTCAGCTCGCTTCTTTGTGCAGTAAAAAGGCTTATTTCTCTCATAATCACTTATTAGCTTCAATTGTTTCTCAGCCTTTTAAAATCCCTCTATATTTACTCTGCCTTCCTGAGCCCACCCCCATACCCCGATAACAGCTCTTTCTTCAGATTTAAGATGGGAAAATGGAGTGAAGGAAAACAAAAGCATTAGCACTCTTTCCTCCCCAGCACTACAGATACACTCCAGGTTTTAATGAAACATGTCAAGTGGTCCTCAAACTCTGCCTAAAACCAGCAATACAATGAACAGGAAGACCTCTTGTGGCCAGAATCTCCCATATGTTCACTGGCAGGTTCTCACAGAACATTAAATCATGGTTTAATACATTATGGTTTTCTAAATCATGTCCTAGTGCTATATGTGAATCCTGCTGGGCAGCTATAGTTTCTTTACTGCCCTCCCAAAAAACATGATCTGAAGCCATGGTTTGTTGTTTGGCTTACAAACCTTGCTTTGATTTAACTATGGCTTGGTGTTTTGTGTGAACTCAGCACCTTTCCTTAACCATAGTTTGTTTAACCATGCTAATGAAACTACCAATGCACAAGATAAAAGAGAAACAAACTATGATTTGTTTTATTTGATTATCTATGGGGCAAATAATGTGTAAATCATGGCTAGTATAACAATGATTTAGTGTTATGTGTAAACCAGGCTACTGTGTCCCTTCCATGCCTCACAGCCATTTTGTTCGGCCAGAATACTAGGTTTTAACTGCTTTTAAATGAAGTGTGCCTATGGCTTTGCTGTAAGACTCTCTCCTCCCACAGTAAGCCTGTCTCAGTTTGAGACCACTAATTTAATGAGAAAAGGGTACTGCAAAACTGTAGAAATTATGGGGCAAATGTTGTAGGAGAGACTACACCAAATTTTAGCCTTACAAGTTTCTCCCATACATTACAATATCCACTTTATAATTTTTCACCAAGCTTATTTATACCCTTGCCTGCCATTTTTATGTTCTTGTTCTTGGGCAGATTCTAAATATCATATAGAAAACATTTCCTCACATATGCGTGCATGCGCACCCGCACACACATACTAAAATGTTTTCAATTTGTTTTCATTATTTTTCAAACATTGCACCAAAGCATAGCACTAAAACCACTTGTTTTTCAACTTACACTCTTCCTTCTTGAGTACTAGATTTATGAATTTAATTTCTGCTTTATAGAAGTTATCACTTTTAACAACTAGAGGAGAGAGACTCTAAATTGCTTTTATTGCTGCTAGACTCTTCAACACATCTTGCTCCGTGTTGTCATTTACATTTCACATTAAATGTGAAATACATTTGGAATGAGCAAATATTTGTTTTAATTTGACCCATCTGTTAAATGAAATTCAAACAGGCCTGCTACATCACAATGTTTAAATTCAGCAATTTGTAAACAATATATCTGTTCGTTCTGCCTGGGTTAAAAGCACCCTAAAGCATAATTCTTATGAAAGCCACCACTTCAAAATGTATTATTCTCATGGATGCAGGCCATGGTTTCTGTCTTCTGTTCATTAATTTATTTTCTAACCAAAGTTAATTAGTGAGACTCATATTAAGAGAGTCATTTGAAATACAGCACAGAAGTCAGGGAGGAGGACACTAAACACACTTCTCCCCCCCCCCTCCTCAATAGACACTTGTAGGCATTAATGCAAATCTGCTTGCAGACAAAATTATCACTAGAAGTTACAGAATGGCTTTCTTTTTCTTCTTTGAACAAAAGTTTTTCAAACAAAGAAAAACAAATATACCTTGAGAACTCGGTGTATTGATAGGTCCAAGGAAAGATCACACATGCTAATAGTGCTATAGCATATGAGGATAGCAACAGATAACAGGGTCTTCATACTGAAGAAATTTGAAGCCCTGTCTTCATCTTACAGAAAAGGGGGTCATTCCTGACTTTTGACAAAATTACATTATCGTATTTTCAGATATTAGAATCTTTCAAAAAATCTTATGTTCTGTATGCCAGTGGTGGGTACACTCAGTCCTTGGAAAGTTCACTTTAAAAAGGAACTAGTTCTAGTTCAGGTACATCCTGTCCAAATCAAGATGGGTGGCGATCGAGGGAGCAGGTGGCCAGATGCACTCCTTAAAGCAGCGTGTCCACATCCTTTGGTCACAATAATCAAAATTAATCCAATACAGATGGAACAGACAATGCTCTCTATGCTGCCAGTAGACTTGCTCTAAATGTGGCATCCAACTCTGTTTGGATTCAAGACCATTTTCCCCCCTCTAAGTGCTTTGCAAATTTGTTACAGCCAAGGGTGGCAGAACAATGCTCTCTTGCACAGATGACAAAGCCCATTCACCACTTGTAGATGCATCAATGGCGGAGAAATATGCTTTTTCGTCACAACCACATGGTAGGCGTGGTAATGCAACCTTACCCTGGCCAGGGTTTACTAGAACCCTGAGATCAACCAGATGCAAAATACATGTGCTTAGAATTAAAGAATTCTAAGCCCAGAACTGTTTTCAGGATCAGAACTGAATGTAGCGCAGAGTTCCTTCACACAAAAATCGACTTAGGCTATCCTACGCTTTTTTTTCCTACTTCAAAAGTATATAATCTGTGGGAGAGGGGCATTATTTCATTGCTGCTATTGGTAAACAATTGAGAGTCAAAAATCTTTTGCCATCGATGACAAATCACCCAGAGATTTTCCAATCAATCTGGATTTGCTGTCTCCCCACCCCTGCTTTATACTATGGAAGATAAGAGAGACAAAACTGAAGTCCCTATGCTCTGTCCTGTTAAAGTATGTGGATATTTCTGAATGTCTGTGAAAATGCAGGCAGGGAAAAGAGCATGGCCTGACAGACAGGAAGGTAACAGTTCCTAGAATATGGCCCATTGTAGCGACCCACAGATTAACTTCCAGTTGTTAAATTCCCATGAAGTGCATTGTGGTACCGTCACCTGGGAAGGTGACGAAATAATGTTCAAAGGCTGTAGCACATCTAGTCACAGTGATGTTGCTCACCAAAAGAACAGACAAACCAACCCAGGTGCGAAAGCAAATCATATGACTCATCCAAGTACACAGCATCCTGATAGTATATGGAAACACTAGAAAAGGTTAAGGTGAAAAACAATAACCAGAAAGCACATAAAAAGAGCTAAGTGTTGAACCAAAAACCACAATGAAATCACACTTGGGTTTTTGACATGGCCCTTCTTTCCAGGCCTGGTTTAACTTTGTAGTACTAAACTGGAATCATGTGTAAAGGTGCTGCAAGTAAGAAAAACTAAGCCAGTGTGAGTATAGCATTATGGCTTAGAAACTCAAGTCTTCTGTTGTTCATATCATGCCAGCCACCAAGAACTGACCAGATGCACTTTAAAGGTAAAGGGACCCCTGACTATTAGGTCCAGTCGTGACCGACTCTGGGGTTGCGGCGCTCATCTCGCTTTACTGGCCGAGGGAGCCGCCGTACAGCTTCCAGATCATGTGGCCAGCATGACTAAACCGCTTCTGGGGAAGCAGAGCAGCGCACGGAAACGCTGTTTACCTTCCAGCCGGAGATGTACCTATTTATCTACTTGCACGTGCTTTCGAACTGCTAGGTTGGCAGGAGCTGGGACCGAGCAACGGGAGCTCACCCCGTTGCGGGGATTCGAACCGCCGACCTCTGATCAGCAAGCCCTAGGCTCTGTGGTTTAACCCAGAGCGCCACCTGCGTCCCTTAGATGGACTTTAGGCAAGCCTTTATTTCCTAGTTGTTTCTCTCCAAATGCAGATCTTACCTATGAAGAAAACAATACTGACCTTCCTCACAAGGCTTACTAATATAATATATGTGGAGTGCATTCTTCTTCTTAGCTTTAATAATGAAAACGGCAACAAGTAGTATGGCATTTTTCATCAGTCACTATACCTGAACCAGCCTGTTTGGTGTAGCACATATTTCCATCATAAATCCTATCGTCTTTGCACAACCATGAATATGGACTAGAAATATACTTATTAAATAAAACAAAAGGCCACAATAAAGCAAACTTGATTATATATTCGCCACTCTCTCATCCCATATTTTTCTCTCTCACACACACACCTGGCTTCTTTTTTCGTCTGAACATACCTCTGTTGACTGCACACTTCTCCCAAACTGATGGTAGATTACTAGCCCTTGCTACAGTTCAAAACTTATCAGGGCCTCTCCAATACAATCTATTTTTTAAATAGAGCCAGCACTGACATTTACTGCATCTGGGATTTTTGGTTGGAAAATTCATTCTTAGACAAGAAACGAGCAGGGGCTTTTCACAGATCATAGCAAAAGAGCAAGGAGCTAAAAAAAAGCAGAGGACACAGTTATTAATCTATGTAATCTATGTAATTTGTGCCCCCTTTATCACACCCTTTACCCCCCCCCCAAATGTAGTGGACCTCTAGAAAAACAATTTTAAAATCTCCTCTGGTTTGGTTGTGCACTCTGGTTTGGTATGTTAGCTGATTCGTTTATTGTAGTGCTAGCACCGTACAAAGCAGGCCAGTGAAAACGAGGAATTGCAGCAATTCAAGCAGAACATGATGAAAATCACATCTAAGAGCTCTCAACAAGATGCTGAGACTACATGGATCACAGCCTGGAAAGATTCTCAAGATGGTGAGATGACAACTTGATTAGATTTAGTCTGAAAAATGTGGCAAGAGAGATCAGAATCAAACATAATTCCCAAGTTATTGGTCTTTTAATAAGCTCTAGGTGCAGGGAGGGGAAATTCCGAGAAAGGCAACTATCTGGCTGGCTTAAAGTGATCAAGGCCTAGCAAAAACAAATAAGTTGAAAGAAAGGCTTCCAACTTTTTAAGAGCCCCTGCTCTCATACCTTTAATGGCAACTTCAGCATCTGAAGGTTTCTTATGGCATGCCACTGTCTTCACATTTAGTGACAACCTCCTTGAGAATATGAATGGCTGCTGCCAGGCATGTGACTGACTCAGGCTAACAGTCTTGTAAAGAGGCAAAAGAGGCAGGAATCATAGTGCCCAAGGAAAGGCTGCTCATTCTTGGAAGTAGTCTGGAGAGTCCACACGTCTGAAAACCAGTGTCTCCACAACTGCCACCTCCATGCCAGCCCAGAGGGTGGAGTGGGATCTGGTGGGCTGGGCATCATCATGAGCCAGACTCTAATCTTTGCCAGGACAGTTTCAGTTACCAGGGATTCTGTTAAAGGCACATGAGCAGGGCTACAGTAAATGAAAGTGGCCCTGGCAACAACCCAAATCTCAGGTTTAAGCTTTCTGAATGAACATATTTGAGTAGCATTTAGAGCTTGCAAGGCTCATTATTTGTTTCTGCTTGTTTGTTTGTTTTGGGGTTTTTTTGGAACAGTTTAAAAACAAAGTCTTTTAATCAGCACTCCAGTCCTGAACCTATTTGTTCAGAAATAATTCTTAGTGATGCTAGTGGGACTTTCACCAGGTAAAGGATTTACGATTGCAGCTTAAGGTTGTGATTTGCAAAGGGCTCCTCATTCTTTCCGGCAAGATCAACATGTAAAAAGCTTCCTTTCCTTGAACCCCATTCCATACATCTCCCCCACTTTGCCTATAAAAATAAAAAAAACTAGTTTCGTTTATCTAAAAATGGGGGATAAGATGTTATCAAGCAGCATGACTAGTAAAAGCAAATTGAATTTTAGGATCCCCCGCTTAATTCAAACGAGACAAAAATTATAACACTACACAAGATAAGCATTTAGCTTTAAAATTGAAATATTTAAATCAAAAGTGCTTTCTTTAAGTGATGATGGGAAAGTGGGACAGGATGGGTAGAGAAGCCTGTTGAAAAGCTGAGTTACTTGGTTCTGTGCATAAAGAAAAGGGAAATGCAGCTGAAATGAAAACCATTCCTCTCAAATGCACATTCTGAAGGCACTAATGCTTACTTTAATATCACCACCGCACAGGTTCCATGCAATTTATGCCATTTGCTTTGTGCTGAGCAGAATTATTTCCATAATGAATAGGGAATGGTGAAACACTAAAAGGGAGATGAAACCCACCTCATTTTCCCATCATTTCATCCTGAATCAATTCCACCCTGCCATTTGTCTTTCCTTTTGTAGCTGCAGAGTCATTACCAACACACACACACACACATGTACATACACAGGGTCTTACCTAGGAAGAGGATAGTCTGTTTCCTGGAACTCCTGCCATCGGGATTCTCGTTTTTCCTTAGGTACTGGTTTTGGCTTTCTCTCTTCCCTCTCACGGCTAAGGTCCCTTGTTTGTGGATCATAAGGGCTTTCATCATATTCCGGCACATAAAAGCCACAGATACCAACACCACGACATACACAATAAAAGCAGTGAAGATACCAGCCTGGAAGGCCTTCCATCGAGACGACAAGCTGGTGCATATGGTGACATTTAGCATCAAGTCAGGCATGTGGTGCCGGGGTTTGGGTTTGCTGCAGGGAACCAGTCCTCGGTGGCCCTGGATGGCTTCCAATGGGTACTCTGTGCCCATCGCAAAGAGAAGAGGTAAGGCCACAAGGACAGATGTAATCCAGACAAAGGCAATGAGGATCCTCACTTTGCAGGGCCCAGAAGCAGCTTTAAACTTGAAAGGGTGGCAGATGGCAATGTACCTTTCAAAGCTGAGAGTGGCCACATGCAGTACCGTAGCATAGCTGCAGGCCTCAAAAAGGAAGCAGTAGAGCTTGCAGGCGAGGTTGCCTTGAGGGGTGGAGAAAGGGGTCCAGATCATACTGAAGAACTCCACGGGCATCCCCAGCAAGAGGACCAGCAGGTCCGAGCATGCGAGGCTCACCATGTGGTCTGTGACCTCTTTCTGCAAGTAGCCCTTCTTCTGCAGCAGTTTGGTTGTCCGGATGGTGACACTGTTGCCCACAATGCCTGCCACAAAGATGACGACGTAGATAAGGGCTAGGGTGATCTTGATCCATTGGTCCACTTCAAATTCTTTAATGTGGGTTTCATCAATTATATCCCAACAATCCTGCTGGCTGTTTCCTGGCTCCATGAGCAGAGCTAATCACACACACACACACACACACACACACACACAATGGAGGAAAGAGAGACAAAAGGTGGGTCAAAACATGTCACTGATCCAAACGTCCTTCCTAACAAAGCTTACAAGTTTACTCACAGGCCAAGGCCTACTGCATTCTAGGAAGCTTATTTCACACAGGTAGAAGCTGTGAAGTAATAGCAATGACTCACCTACACCCAAACAGGCAACACAACTTTTTTTTCTGAATCAGCACCTCACACCAGTCGCATTGGTGGATTAGTCAATCCAGGAAAGAGATGAGACAAACCATTATTCGCTTTAAAAAGAAGAAGAAGAAGAACCACGAAGGAAATGCTTCTTTCTTCTAAGTATTGTTTCTGTCCTGTACCTATTTCCTCCTCACACGCTTCAGGGTGCATCCAATTCTCCCTGATGGAAGGAAGGTTAAGCCCTTCGGATTTTCTCCAGGCACTCCCTGTTCCTTGCCCCGCCAGCTTCTGAGTGACGAGACTTCCCTCTGGCCGACAGGCAACCACTTCCGTCAAACATTAACTTCTAGCTGAACAGCCGGGTGGGATGTGGTTAGTGACTGAAAAGATAAGGTGGCCAAAAAAAGGGACAAGGCAAGCCTGGTTCCAGCCAGTTAGCTTCCTCTGCCCTCCCTGAAATCTGATCTCTACTCCTTCTTAACAACTGTGAAGTGAAACCAGACAAGGAAAATAAATAAATTAAATAAAGGCAGGGCGTGGCTGCTAGGGTGTTTGATTTTGCCCTCTTTCTCAATGTCCTCTGTTTACAGCACTTCACGTGGGTGGAAGTTTTTGCAGCTTTCCGTTTCCTCGTCTTTTCTACATGGGAGATTAGTGTACAGGTTTTCACGTCACCAAGGAGCAGAGGAAAAAGAAACGATTATTGCTTCAAATGCCATATGAACATGGGACTAGATGAAAAATAGGAACTCTGCCGGGCTGTGATGGTTGATCCCATTGCTGCTTTAGAACACAGGGCTCTAGAATACATACCTGCCTAAAAGTACAAAAAGCTTCCTGCAACAGACAGCATGCAACCCACCCCCAAAAAAGACGTATAGGCTTATGAAACTCTCACTGCTCCCAAGAGCTTTTAAACCCAAATTACAAGGCAAGTCAAGAGCCTTCTCTAAACAGAAGTCATATTTAATAAATTGGGCTAATAATTTCCAAAATCCATTATTTTATACTCTCAGTGCAATTCTAGACATGTCTGCTCAGAACTACGTGCCACTTAGTTCAATGGGACCTACCCCCAGGTAAGTTAAATTTAAAGCACTTTCAGTGCACGTTTGAAGCCCAATAATCCTGGGAACTGTAGTTTGATAAGGATTCTGGGAAGTGTAACTCTATGAGGGGGAAGCTACAGTTCTCATGATTCTTTGGAGTGGATCATGCTTTAAATGTGTGCTGAATGTGATTCAAATGTAGGGTGTGGGTCTGCCCATAGTGTAATGTGGGATAAACTCTTCATACAAACCCTTAATAGCATTATTTTAAGATTTCCTTCTTTTCCTGCTAGATAACAGAAATACATATAGATAGCAGTCCTAACCATGCTTATTCCTCTGAGCCCTAGAGGGAAGTGAATTTAATGCACACTATATTTTTTGTTTCCAAGAACCTCTCATGGTAACCTCCAGAGTTTTATATTTATAGATTAGCATACCTTCACATTTCAGTGCAGACTACTCCACAGCTAAATAGAATCACTTCCAGAGGACTTTCTCCAGACTACTAGGCTCAATCTACTACAAAATCTCAAAGCAACAAGTTCCAGACTAAAAATGGTTATAATTAGAAAAGGTGGGCTTGCTTTTTAGCTATTCACAAGAGTGGAACAACAGATAGCTATTAAACAGTTCTCATCATATTCAAGGTGGTTATCTTCCCACCCAAAAACTTAACGAACAAAAGATGCCAAAAAATCAGCACCTGTTCCAGTTGATTATTCATGCAGTCCTATTTCAGAGAAAAACCTCTTTCCTCCAATCTCTGTGCCGCTTCAAGCCCTCTTGCCCCAATCCTCCTTCCTTGTGCTTGATAATTCAAATTTGTTCTGCTCAGACAAGCTTTCTATTATTGCCCAATTTCTTTCACTTAATTTTACTTTATAAAAGTGTGAACAAAGATTACATATGCATGGCTGAATTGTGGATATGAAACAAATTAAAATTTGCCCATTACCAGGGGCTGAGGAAAGAGAGGAAATAAGGGCCCAGGGAAAATTGTTGGTTCCCCCACAGACATACTTTCCTATCCAATTATATAAAAAAGCACCAGTTTTGTAATCTCAGTATGATAACATATGTAATCAGATTGTATTATTAACATGTCTTCTAGTAAGAGAGAGGTATGGGGTGAATTTATCACTTCCTCTACTAGCTTCTTCCCCACAGCAATTGGGAAAGGTGTGTTGTCTTCTTAAGAGACCGGTTACAAGAAGGAAAACCACCTTTATTAAGAGTTTGGATTTGATATCCTACTTTATCACTACCCAGAGGAGTCTCAAAGCAGCTAACATTCTCCTTTCCCTTCCTCTCCCCCACAACAAACACCCTGTGAGGTGAGTGGGGCTGAGAGACTTCAAAGAAGTGTGATTAGCCCAAGGTCACCCAGCTGCTGCATGTGGAGGAGCGGAGATGCGAACCCGGTTCACCAGATTACGAGTCTACCGCTCTTAACCACTACACCACACTGGCTCTCAGTCCAGTTTAAGAATGATTCGGTTTACGAACTCCACAAAACCGGAAATAGTGTCTTCATTTGAGAACTTTACCTTGGTCTAAGAACAGAATCCAAATGGTAGAAGGGCACTGGCGGTGGGAGGCCTCATTAGGGAAAGCACGCCTCGGTTTAAGAATGGTTTCTGTTTAAGAATGGACTTCCAGAACGGATTAAGTTCACCAACCGAGGTACCACTGTACTTGGATGCACTGGGACTGTTTTATGCACTGGGCTTGTGTATATCTTGTTTCCTGTTATTGCTAATTCCCCATTAATCAGCTTCCATTGCCATCTTCAGTTAGCAAGACCTTCCATATTCAAGAAACAGGGCATTTCTCCACTGCAAGACAGCTAGTTAAAACCTAAATTTGTTTCTGTATAGGCATTTTCACTTAGTCTACCCTACCACCAAAAGGTTTGGAAGAAAAGTGTGTGGTTCTAGAAGGTAAGGAGAGTAGCGCAGGGCTTTGAATATTGGTAGTTATCAATACCAGGGCACATAGTCAAACATTGTGGCTAACAAGTGGAACAAGCAACAAATGGTTGCAACATATTTTCTCTCTTAAAAGAGTGCTCATTTTCAGGGTTCCAGACAGATATTCCATCCAAACTGACTTACCTACAGTCCTGTTGATACCCACCATAAGTGTTTGCTATTAGAAGGAGTGATATACCGGTAGTTGACTTGAGAGGAGGTAATAATATATTTCTTGTAATATAATTCCAAGAAGACAATTTGCTGCCACTTCAAGATCAGGTGTTTTTTAATTCTAACTCCCATCATCCCAGACCACAGTCTATGTTGACTGACAGCAGTCTAGAATCTAAATGTGGGTAAGATGCAACTTAGATGTGCTTAAGCCCAATGATTTAAGTCATTTCATCATCACAATTCTACTCAAAAGCAATTCCCTTTGAGTTCAATGGAGTTTACTCCCAGGTAAGTGGCTAAAGATTGCAACCTAAGCATGCATAATTTTGTGTAGGATTTGAGAGCCTGAAATATATATACGGTGTGTATGTATGTGTGTGTGTGTGTGTGTATATATATATATATATATATATATATATATATATATATATATATATATAAAACACCTGTAATTTTGAGCAATAACGACCTTCAAATATGTGCTGTGGAACTGATACAAAGCAAAAGCAAACACCACCATAGCAACAGTAATGCAAATTATGACTATTCTGTCTCAAAATATGTAAATTGCTCCGATGCTAATCAACAATGGTCTTCTCTGCCATTGTTTACCTATATGAGCTTTAGGTGCCGATAATTTTATAATAATATTTCTGTAATTGGTGATGGTAGGGACGCGGGTGGCGCTGTGGGTAAAACCTCAACGCCTAGGACTTGCCAATCGCATGGTCGGCGGTTCGAATCCCCACGGCGGGGTGCGCTCCCGTCGTTCGGTCCCAGCGCCTGCCAACCTAGCAGTTCGAAAGCACCTCCGGGTGCAAGTAGATAAATAGGGACCACTTACCAGCGGGAAGGTAAACGGTGTTCTGTGTGCTGCGCTGGCTCGCCAGATGCAGCTTGTCACGCTGGCCACGTGACCTGGAAGTGTCTGCGGACAGCGCTGGCTCCCGGCCTCTAGAGTGAGATGAGCGCACAACCCAAGAGTCTGGCAAGACTGGCCCGTACGGGCAGGGGTACCTTTACCTTTACCTTTTAACTGGTGAAGAAACATTTCTCCCTCATTAAGTTAAGTTAATTGTATTATAAGCATAGTTGCAGCTTTAGAGCCACCTTATGCAGTGCCTTTTTCTGGGGGTACCCAGGGGTACACATACCCCTAAACATTTTGTGAATCTTTATACTTTTGTCCATTTACAGTATTTATTTTCCCCAATTTGAACTATAAAATGGTGATTTTCTTGAGTCAAAATGAGATTACCCCTAAACATTTTTTTAGAAAAAAAAAGAATCTACCTTATGAATATTGTAAAAACACCACATTCAACATATATGGACACACCGCGTGGCTGCTCCACAGTTAAAGAATTCCATTTTCCTGGAAGCTGACAAAACCTGAGCATTTTCTGCAGTGTCAACCTTATTTGAACTCCTTAATTGTAATTTACATATATATAATGTTTCAAAGTGCAGTTACCTTCCCTGACCACTATTCCTTTCTCTTTTCTGGACATGAATAACATGGTCTAACAGGGAGAAAATCAAGAGCTACGACTTCTCTTCTTGCTGCATATAACTCTGTGATGAGAAATGCAGCTCCTGCTAAATATCTCACACTTCTGGTTCTTATAGGCAGGCACAGGAGCCTCTGTCAGAAAAGAAAGTGGTAATCTGTACCTTCGGGGATAATTGAAGAGAAAAAGATGGGGGGGGGGAATATACTTATATTTTAAAGCCTAGTGGATTTAATGGTGGCTTGCATTTTAATGTCTCTGTGTGTTTTTAATATGACTAATGTTGCTGAGCTTCTTAAAAAAGAAACCGAGTCCATAAGTTCCGTCGTGCAAGCTAAGCATTTCGTGTATACGATTGCAATGGCAAAATCTGTGCCTGTTGTAATAAGGAATTGCATTCCTATATAGTAGTAAATGGCACTTAGAAACACCTAGATGATTTTAATGTTTTGCGACATAGGCCATTAGCTTCCGAGGTGGGGTGTTTTTTTGGGGGGGGGGCTAAGAAGACCTTGAATTATTATTTTTTTTTAAAAATCATAGCAGTGTTTTCTTTTCTTTCCCCTTGCTATTTGGAGAAAGATAGGAAGATGTTTGGGTGCATAATAGTTTGCACTCTCAGCAAATGGCAGGGATGTGAAAATGTTTACAGAAGTGCTTTGCAGTCCTTAAGGTAAGTATGCGCCTGCACTGGTTATCTAGAAGGGACTGAATATAAAACACTGATTTTGTTTCATTAGCATCCAACTATAGAGGCAGGCTGCCATCAATCAGAAAGGAAAGTGATATATAAACTAGGAAATTAAGATAATGCAGAAAGCCCATAAAAATGGAGATTATTTGCACACAATGCAGATTTAGCAGTGGCATCTCATTCTGCCCATAGCCTACAGGCCAGTCAACATTAACTCCTCTAATGATACATTTGCCTTATAAAGTAGACAAGGGGCTGTAAAGCACACATCCATTTTCTAAAGAGATAAAATAGTTTAGCGTGCCTGTGGTCACATGTGCGCAGATTCTTTTTGAATTATATATAAATTTCTTTTTTAGTATCAGTGTGGACTGGGTTGAGCAAGTGTGCTAGATCAAATAAAATCTGGAAATGAAGAATAATAGGAATGTTCATTCTCTGGTCTATGGAACATTATAAAGATGGACTGCTGTGTCACGAGGGATGCCATACATATTGTTTTAGGGATAACTGATAGCCATGAGAACTGGCAACTTAGGGCATGATGCAGTCAAAGTGAAAAGCCAGTGTAGCATATTGGCTGAATGTGTGAGCTACACATCAATTATTTCCTGGTTCAGTTCTCACCTCTGTCATTATGTGAGACAGTCTCTCTTGGCCTCGCACCTTCAGTATGTGACTCTTCAGGGCTGGTGTAAAGATTATGCATACAAAGTGAACACTTCACAACACTTGCCTAATCTGAGTGAACTGGAAGAAGGAAAGAAGCAGGCAAACACATTATTACACACACCTGCTTGACTCATATTTGCACCTCCTGTTGCCAGAGTGATGTTTTTGGGTCCCTCCACATGTTATCATTGTACCCAATGTTCAGAGGAACTTGACATTATCCATGTGTGGAGAGGGGGAAATTGGTTTGTTTTTGAATCCATTGCTTCAAAATTCTGTTTTTCACCCAGTTCTTCTCTTTTCTACATTCTCAGGTGTCATCTCTCGTGGATCCATTAATTGATTTTTAATTTTTTTAAGAGTTTTATTGGAAGTGATGTATTATATGAATGCTATGAAGGTTGGTCTAAAAGCAGGACACAAATTTAATTAATAATACTTAGCAGATCTGCCGTTGATCTTTAGTGGCTCATGCTGACATTGCAGCTATCAAGTTTTGAATATGCATGTGTGAAACCACACATTATACACAAATGCATTTAATGTAGTTCATTTTAAATAAGTAGGGAGCCTGTGCCATACCACATGCTCTTTGCTTTCAGCCTGCTCAGACTGAAGAGCTTTCCATCAGAAAGCTAGGCTGGCTATTCCAGGAATTTGCATCCTTGCTTAGATTTTGACACTTGCTGGATCGAGGAATTAGAAGGGTCTTGGCATTCAGCCTACTGCACCCCCAACTCCCAGCAAAATATACTTTGTCTTTTGCCCCCTGATTCCTCGCTCTTAACTCCCTGATCAATCAACTGGCTCATCATGACCTAACTTTACATAGCCTACATTTGAGCCTTAAAAAGTTTCCGTTAGGAACTGGATGGAGGACATCAACATAATTTGACAGATGCCGTCTCATTTTAGGTGCCTTTTTACAGATTTCATTCTCTTGCCGTACTGGAATATAATTACATGACTAACTCCTATATGTAGATTTCTCCCCCAGTTGTGTTATTGTATCCTTGTTTATGGGTTCTTGGTATCCAAATCTGCATAAGCACAGTATGTTTATTTCTCAATTACCATTCAGCTTGGGAATCCCTTGCCTCAGAATGGCTCCCAGAGATTATTAATTTTCCATTGTCTTCATATTTGTTTCTCAATAGCTGTGCTGTGCATATGCAAATGTACCCTAATTGACTCTGCTAATCTCCCTGCCCTGATTGGCTTTTTTTGTCTACCATCCTCCTAAATTGACAGTGACAATAAGTCCACCTTGATTTTTCTCTTTTTCTGGGTGGAGCCTTAGAGGACACAAATGAAAAATCTCAGAAGCACAGACAAAAATAAGGCTGTGGAACTGCTTAAATGATCAGTGGTTCATTTGGGACAGTGTGATTTATCCTTCTCTGTATCTTTTAAGGTAACGGATTAAGAAAGTTGAAACCGTCTCACTGGATCAGACTGAAGCCCATCTCATTTCCACATGGCCAAGTTGATGCCTCTCGGAAGCCTAAAAGCAGAGTGCCCTGGCAGGGTTAGGAACCTCTGGCCTGCAGGCTGGATCCAGTCCTCCTGGCCTCTCTGCCTGGCCCTCTGGTCTCTCCACAGGTCACACTCCTCTCACCAGCCCTGCTCTGCCCCCACCGGCACTCAACTCATTTTGTCTGGAATGACAAAATGGGAATATATGAACTTGTTTGCTTGGATGGAAAGGGGTGTGTATGTGTAAATACTTATTTTTGCATGGTTTGAATACAATAATAAGAGTCTCATTTTGTTGTTCCACCTACCACTGCCACGTGGTTCTGGGAAGGGGATGTGGCACTCTGGCTGTGAAATATTTCCTGCCCCTGGTGTATTGCAACATCCTTCTCCAATTATTTATCATACATCATCCAGCAATTAGCATTCATAGATGCATAGAATTGTAGAGTTGGAAGGGATTCTGAGGGTCATCTAGTGCAACCCCCTGCAATACAAGAATCTCAACTAATGCCAAAATCATGTATATTTAATGTATATTCAAAACACACTGAGTGCAATGGCAGGCAGGATTGCCAAAGACTTTTCCCCACATGCCAGCCCCCTTTCCACCCTCTTTTTTTTTTTTTTGCCAAATATATAAAGCTGAATACTCACAAGTTAAATATGCATAAGTTGTGGGCTTACTGTATGTAATTGAATCCCGTCAGAGAATAGCAACAGTCTGGAAGTCCCCCAGGGCAGTGTGTGGATTTGGACATATCCATTGCTCGAGTGGAGAAGGGGCAGAGGGAAATATGGAGGTGGATGGTGGTCAGGTCATAGTAAGGTAAGATGGTCTGACCACATATTGCTCATTCTACCTTATGAGCTATAGCCAACCAACAATGTAATGTAAGCCTGCCTGAAAACCTGGAGAGGTTGCAGTTATACTTGGTTGGTATTCTAAGGCTTTCAGCCTTAGAAATCCCACTGTTATTTGTGTGCACAGCAAAAAATGCACCACTGCAGTATTGGAGGAATCTCAAAACCCCAGGACTGGAATGAGACCTAAGTTCTGAGCTAAGGCAAAAGGCCACATCAGAGGAACAATGGGAACAGACAATTTCTCACAGGGTATATGGTTGTGTTAGACTGAAGGGAAGAGGATGAAGCAAGAATATATGTCCTAACTTGCGGTTTAAACTGGCCAAGAGCATAACATTCATTCTGTGAAACACCTTTGGAAATGAAGAACTAAGAGTCACTTGGATGATTTCACAAAAAAACCTGCTATGCTTGGTGCCACATACGAAGAAGTGTTCCAAGGGTTATATCTGACGTAACCAGGATGGCAACAACTACTCTGACACTTTACTCAAGCAGTGATGGACTTTGGGGTTTCAAATTTCAGCAGCATTCTGTGCAATGCCAAAATTTGGCACACACACACCCCAGGCACCTCTTGTGATCCATTCTAAATAGTTCTAAATTCTAAATCCTAGTTGTGGTGGCCTCAAGGCTCCACGCCCTAAATCCGCCTCTGGCTCAAGCAACTTGTGACAAAATTGTCACAAGGGGAACCTGCCAGTAATGTTCATACATGTTTATATTGAACTATATGGGATTTCTCATCCATCCCTATGTGTACCAGCCTGGACTGAAGCCAGATCAGAGATCCAGGGAAGTAGACAAGGCTGTTTAAGTTTTAAGAATTATACTTCTTAAATGCGTTGCCCCTCTTAGTTGGCTGTGTGGTCAGTCTTCTTACACCAGCAGCAGAGCTCCCCTCACTGATGGGGAAATGACATCAGATACCCATGTTTGTGTCTACTCTTTGGTTTCATTGTAGTAGGAAGAGCATTAAGCTGGGGTAGCTCAGTCGGTCAGCATGAGACTCTTAATCTCAGGGTCATGGGTTTGATACTCATGTTGAGCAAAAGATTCTTGCACTGCAGGGGGTAGACACTTGTGGTCCCTTCCTATTCTATAATCCTATGACCTATGACCCAAAATCACACTTACTTTTGTTCCAGATGGCGAATTTGTCTGCTTGCCCTGATGGATGTTTATTGGCATTAAAACAGTGTCTGTCCACCTGCTTGAGATGATGCTTTTTCCTCCTTTGCTGGATCTCAAAAACATTTATCCACAATGTCTGCAATACATCCTTCCTCAGTACAGAATAGCTGTGTTAATAACAGGGGACATGGCCTTCTCAGTTAATATTAACAGAGTTTCAGCTGTTCCATAAATGGCTATAGAATCTTGCCTTTAATTCCTTTAAATGTAAGTTCAACAACTTCAGCTTATCACATCCACAGGACATAATAGAGTCACTCTTAAAAACCTATCATCTTAGGTGCTTTGATCTCTGCAGATTCTGATTATGAACCTATAGGATTAAGCATTCAATTCAACAGAATATGGGTATGCAGAGGTTTCTCATCAGTGGTGGAAGAGTAGTGCAATTCATAACAGCTATTGTTGTTGAAAGGTAGTGGGCGTTTGAATTTGGGAGCAGGGGGTAAATTAATTCTGTGGAAGTCCTAGGCAAGACTTTGAATTCTCTATTTTGTGCAACGTTATTTGTTTCAGTGATACACTGCACATCTGCTGAAGGAAGGAAATCATTGCTAATGGGAATCTTGTATTTCACCTCTTGTTACTTTCTGTACTTGAAACTTGCATGTCCATCTCAATAATTATAGAGCCATTCAGCCTTCACTTCAAAAATCAGCTAATAACATTTGCTAGGGGTGGAAAAAGACAGTGTACTTTGTCCTGCTTCAAAGTAAAATGTTCCAGCTGTGTCACTTCTACAAGAACACATGCATATGTACCTTATGCATACCTGCTATCTACAAAGTATCCTGGACTGAGTGCATGAAATGCTCTGCGTCTCCATTCAGTAGACTAATATTTTAGTTGTCTGCTTGTCAGATTTGTATCCCACCTTCCCACCAAATCATGCTCAGGGTGTCTGCTGTAACAACAGTAGAAATAAAAGAAAAACAGTTATCTAACCTGCTGATTGCGTTGGACTTTAAGCATGGCTAATTAGACCATTGGTTCGGGTGACATATAACCCTCTCTTCATCTCCTCACTTTGAATTCTGCATCTTGAAATTGTACTTGGCCAGCCATGTCTTATCAACCATTAACCTCCATGGTAAGCAAGGAGTATGCAAGGGGTAGTTGGTACCCCAATTAGTTGACCTTTGCTGATTCTCATTGAACTATGGTGGCATTCCGCCTTTGTATGCTAGACCATTCACTCAGGGACCAACCACATTTCTGCCTATGGCTCTGTCCATTTCCAGTTCTTTCCACTATGCCACACTGACAGACCATGAAGTGTATTACTTACAGAGGCTCAAGGTGCATGGTGTATAAAATCTGTACATCACACTGTGCGCACATTGAATGTACAGTGGTAACTCGGGTTAAGTACTTAATTCGTTTCGGAGGTAAGTTCTTAACCTGAAGCACCACTTTAGCTAATGGGGCCTCCTGCTGCCGCCGCACCACCAGAGCATGATTTCTGTTCTCATCCTGAAGCAAAGTTCTTAACCCAAGGTACTATTTCTGGGTTAGCGTAGTCTGTAACCTGAAGCATATGTAACCCGAGGTACCACTGTCTAGAATATGCACACACACAATTGCAATTATTTGTTAAAAAGTGTGTTTTAATGGAACCGGGGATAAAATTAAAGTCAAACTGGGATTAAGGAGCGAGAGGGGAATTAGAAACATCAGCGCAGATTGAAATGTCATCAAGATTTGTAAAATGGTCCATTCCTAGTAATGCTTCTGTAGAAAGGACAGGTACTGTTCAGTTTCCTTGTTCTCTTTCTACTCATGGCCACTAGCTTACAGTGTTCCCACACATACCCATGCTTTTTAAAAACAACTGCCGCGAGTAAGCAACTGTCTTAACTATGGGTGCTAGCTTGACTATTTAGTAGCTTTTAAAAAACTGAATATACATGTAATCTTTCTATAAAAAGGGTCAGGACAATGGGATCAAGATTAGAGGGTGGGCAGCCACCTTACCTGGTAGGTGGTGAATTCCAGCAGTGGAAGTGTTGGGTCTGGAAAGTGGGGCAGTGAACACAAATTCTTTTATTTAAATGTTCGAAGGTATAAAAGCCTAAAATACACGCTGTTTGCATCATTAGAATTCTGTTATTAAAAGCTGCATGCTGGTAGAAAGGAGCCACTTTTGTTTAAAGATTGCATTACAATGCTAATTTTATTTTTAGAGCTAATGCTAGACATTGTGTATTCCCCTCCTGTTTGTTCTCCAAGCCCTGCAACATTCATAGCAGACAGTAGACTTTCATAATAATCACACTAATGAAACTTCTAATGCAAATCCTAAAGTATTAGTTTGTGGGAAATATACCAGACTTCCAAAATAACACTTTCACCTTTAAAATGCCGCTGCAAAATCTTATACTGTGAAATCTGAACATTAGAATTGGGTAATCGATCACGTGACCTTTGTAGTGGCGCCTGGCAACATCCTGGGGCGTTGCCATATGGAGAGTTTCTTGCTGTTTGTGTGTACTAAATCAGAGGTGAGGTGTTTTCCGAGTTTCCTCTGGTTTGCCTAACAAAGGCACCTCACACACAGTAGTACACCTTTGTGCTTTTTATGCTGAATGATTGTATGTTGGTTAAGCGCACCAGTGCATTTGAGCATATGAAAAATCCTGTTTCAGTGTTGTGTCTTGCTGAAGTTGGCCTTTTAAAAAACAAAAATAAAATCTCCTTCATTTATAGACCCGTCACGCGGGTGACATTTATTATTGAAGGCACTTCTATTGGGAAAGGAGGATGCAAACCAATTGAGCAGCATAGATTTTCTTTCTTGGCAAAACAAATAGAAGTGAAAAGGTAATCAGGGTTTCATTCAAACCAAGTAAAGAAGCAAAGCAGCCCCATACTCTGCTTTGCCAAGGGGAATGAGATACACCATCATTACACTGTTACTATGCAGCAAGAATGTTGCAACCCAAGGGTCCTGGTCTATCCAGTTCTTAATGGCAACAGAAGATAAATGAAATTTTTACTAATCCAGGAGACAAAAGGATTTCCTATCTCTTTTTCATTATTCAGTCTCTCTTTTCAAAGGATCTAACACCACTTTCAATTTTAGTATACAAATACTTATGTACAGGGATTATAAAAGGTCTCTGGTTAAAATGACTGATACACAAGAATCATGTTGATTACTGGCGTGCCATCGCCATCTTACTTTGCTGCATGGAGTATTTCCTACCCATTCAAGATTCTGAATCTCCTTCGCTTCTCCCTGTTGCAATCAAGCTTCCTAAATAGCATCTCCAGCAGTCCTCCCCAAATCTCTCCCCCCCCACCCCCAATCTGGGTCCTTCCTTTCCATGCCATTTTGCATGATGAACCACATTCCCATTTGGAAGTTCTTAAGTAGCACTTGCATATGGCTGAGTTCAGATAGCTCACCGCTTCTCGAATAACATTTGTTTTCATTAGCTCTTTAGGATGTAGTGGGCAAAGGATTTTACCATGTAAAGTAAATTCATCTGCAGCATATTATGGAAATGTTATATTCTCTTGGGAAGCCATTGGATTACGGTGGGTTGCAGGCAACGCTGAGTAAGGCTTTAAAACTGAAATAAAGTCACAGCGATTTAAATTCTACTTCTCAAGGAGGTTAACACAGCCCTCTGCTCTTCAGACCGTCAATTGGGTGTTGGATTCCACATAAGCTGCTAGGGATAAAAAAGCTCTGCATTTATCCAAGAGCTATTTAACATGTGCCTCCTAGAACATGTTAAGTTGGGTGGTTGAGTGTTGAGACTTTGTATTTCTGCATCCTAATTCCCATTGCAAATTTGCATCATACAAAGCTGGCTGTGAATGGAAAGAAGAAGCAGCATCCTGCTTATAGAGAAATGAGCATCTGTGTTCTAGTACAGGTAATATTTCATTGTTTGCAATGAATGTGAGGTTGTGGACACACTTCCACTTACTCTCCATCCAGTGCACTCCCACTGCTGGTTAGAAAGTGGTGTACACATGGCATTAGTCACAATCCATATCTAGCCTGTGAAATACTAGTCTTATGAAAAACTGCATTTTGATGCATTTTCTCCAAACTACCTTCTATCCAAATAGGGGGAAAGAGCAGCCTAGCTGCATTTTGAGCCCATAATGTGTATGGAACCTAGGTGTGCTGCTGGGGTTGGGGGGGGGGGGAGGTCCTATTTCTGGAAAGCACTACAAAAAAATCCCATCTGTGGTAGGGGTGAGCAATTTGCTGCCCAAGAGCAAACTGCATGATGCTCTTGGACTAATTTAATAGGAGTGGAGGAGAATCTCAAAAGGAGTTCAAGAGGGTAGAAAGGGTAAAAATGGAGAGGAAAACTTAAAGCAGTGGGGCAATGGAAGAAGAGATAAACTACTAAAGACTCAGATAGGAGTTGTATAAAACAAATACATTTATTAAACGTACCTCTGGTGGGCAACATGTCATGCTCCTTCTGGGGTAGTTTGAACACCTTTGGACCCCACCTGCACTCAGCTCTTACCTGTGGTTCCTAGAAGCTGTTGGCACGCGACAGCAGCCACACCATGGGAACGGCTTTGACTGGCTGGCTAAATCAGGTGTGGGTAGCCAGTGGGTCTCAAACCCTCAGTGAATCAGGGACTTCCCCTGCATGTGAAGACAGGCTGCAGCGGATTGAGCAGATGAGACCAATAGTGGGTCCAATGGTTAAGAAGGTGGTTTCTGCACATGCTGTAGAGGGAAGTGAGGGGCAGATGAGGCTTGTCAACCTGGGAAGGTAGCTCATCTAAGAGAAGGAAAACTCTGATCCTAAAGATCCACCGCCTTGCAGGTTAGCTTTGGGCTAAGGAGTAAACCCCACACAAATCTGGAGTGGAGTCCCT